CGGCTACACGGAAAGGAATAACAACGACTAAAACCACGGCATAAATTAAAGTTAGATTGGGATGGGGAAATTTAATCTTCAAAATGGCATTAAAACGGAGTGTCCTGTGGTCTCCAAGGCTTGCAATAGACAAGAGCTGGCTAGAGTTACCTTTGTAATTGTTATGGTGAAAGGGACACAATCTGCCTACTTAATCTTGAAGCAGGTCCCTTAGAAGGACAGAAAAGCGATCCGCCCATATTACTGTACGGCAGAAAAAGCAGGAGAGATGCATTTACAAATGGAGACGCATGTTTGAAAAGAGACTTAAGCACAGGTCAGGCAACTCACCACCTTTTCCTAAACCCTCTCTGTCGCTGTCCGTTTATTAATGCGCTGCATGTAAATTTGAAAAACGCGAGCATCAAGCGGCACCAGTGTAACACACTCAGCAGAAGCGGCATGACCGTCCCGAAATGACTGCAGCGAAACCCATCTGATCACACAATCGGGGGTATGTTGGGCATAAGGAGCAAATGATAAGAAGCCGACAATGGAGTCGGCAGATAGCTTGCCATTTGGGAATCCGCTGGCTCTGGTTGCCAGAGCTGCTCGGCTTGTTAAAGTTGGTAAAAACTGGCATGCAAATCTTGGACCATAGGCTCTAAGGTGAAGGGGTCCAGCTCACTTTAGTTGTCAACCATTTACTTTCTCTTATTCATTCACTGCAGTTAACCCACCCACCCTGAAAAAAAAAAAACTGCAAAATCTAATCTCCTTCCTTCCACCAGGAAAAGTCAGTGAGGATCACAGACTGGAAGAGAAATTTTATTTCACTCAGACTGTCATGTGTACAGAGTGAGATCACAGAACACTGATCCGTTATCACACTGTATGCTGAAGAGGATATCAGCTCAGCAAGGTCTTTATCTTTTGAAAGCATAGATTGATTGCAAAGAGGAGAAACTCCTGTTTATTATCTCTTTGGTCACAACAAATTTTGGCAGGGAAGCTGAAACGAGAGGGAGAGAAACAGGGATTCGAGTCGACAAAACAGCAAATTAATAGTGTCCTGACACTGTCAGTCAGTGAAGAGCCACGTGACTCATGCTTAGGTTGGGCCTGCCTACGGACGGCCACCGCAGGTGTGACCGGGGGCTTCCGGAAGGATCTTCGGTGGTCACCATTGTCCACGGCAGGCCTTTGATCTCACCACAGAAAGCGAGAGAAACGGCAGGGGTCCACTTAGGGCTCCATGCTTCTGTCGGCACTAAATCGAGAGCAGCGGCGCGGGGGGAGGGGCAAAGCTACCAACAGTGTCTGTACCGCTAATCCACACTTCGCAAAGCGGCCATTAATTCAAGGAACTGGGCGGGCAGGGAATGGCCCAGACACTCTGGGGTCGAACGGTGTGCTTCATTTTACAGCAGCACTAATATTCAAACCGAATTACCCCCGTGGCTGATCTAATCTGAGGAACCGCCTGTTCAGGCTCCCATTCTGGGCCTTCAGCACTAAGAAACTTCTGAGAACAAGTCAATTTGCATCAAAGCTCCCAAACAATTCCTTTGAAGCATTTTGCACGGGCATCATTCCTCAGATTTCTATTGCTGATCGCAGCGAAATCAGATGTA